CCCCCCCCCGCCCCCCCCCCCCTCCCCCCCCCGGCACAGGCCTTCTCTCTCCCCCTGGTTGGCAGGGGTCTTTTCTCTCCCCCTCAGCGTCCACTTCTGGCTGGCATGGGCCTTTTCTCTCTACCTTGGCTCCCATCCCCAGCCGGCAGGGGCCTTCCCATTTCCCCATCCCCCCCCCCTGTCACTTCACCCAACTGACAGGGGGCTTTTTTCTCACCCTCCTGGCTGCTTCTCCAGAGCTGGTGGGTAGAATGGTTTTGGGGCACGGACTCTACTTATCCATTCTGGTTGACAGGGAGTATGGCAAGCCCCAGTCTCAGCTTGCCACTCTCTTGTAGGTACAGCTGCTCCCAATGATCACTACATTATAGCTCTCCCCTCTGCTTGCTTACTGCCCACTAGTAGTCACTCTGTGGTATTGCTTCCCTCTAAACAGCAGCCCCTCCCTTTGTATGTTATGGAAAACAGTCTCATTCCTGGGGCTTCTGGTTGTCCCAGCACAACCAAATCCTGATCTTGCTTTAAGTTAGGAGAAGAGGAAGCTGCATTCTAAATCTTGTGTCCCTAGCTCTTACCATTTAAGAGGAGTTCTTGAACAAATGGACTCGCAGACCTACACACTTTTAAAAATAAATATATATTTTTACTTAGATGCAGTGCTTTGGTTCTGGAATGGCAGGTCCAAAGACCAAGAAGCAAATATTTAAAAGATGTGCTTCATACCTAGCATCTTCCATGCATACAAGATGCCTGATTTGAGAAGAAAATGGACACACTTTATCAAGGTGCTCCATTTGCTCCACTTTTACTTGAAGAACATTTAAAAAGCAGCAATACAGATTGCAAACTTAGTTCCTTTCTGGGAGAGATTGATGGTTAATCGAGCCAGATCCAATCCTTCAGGGGGAGCCAAGAACTTTATAGACCTTATTTTGCCCCTAATGTATCAGAAAATATGCAATAAATGACTCTGCAGGACTCACCTGCTGTGGTTCTGAAGCTTGAAGAATGCTGCGGTTCCAAAGAAAGACAAAAAACTGTCTGATCTAAATCCAAAAAGCATGAATCTTTGTAGTAGTGGCAAACTTTGTGACCAGAGTTGCAGACATTTTGTTTAGAAGTGCAAATAATTTTACTTAACTCTAGAAAATAATTCACAGTCGCTTACATCCCTAGATCAGATACTAGATTTAACAGAATTCTTGAGTTCCTTCTTATTTAGGAATTCATATCCCTTGTTCCAGAATGTGATCACTGCTAGCTAAACTAGCCTGTGAGTGGGAATCTGGAGAGGATGCTTGAAAAAAAATTAAAGTTGTTCACCTGTAACCAGAAGTGTGGTTTTTTTAATGGACTCTGTAAATTTATACTCTCTGCTCCCCTTCACCACTGTTTTGGAATCTTAATTACATAAGGATATAGGCTTAGATGGGAGCTTCTGGAGGGGTCATTGAGGCACATTAAGGAGCATGGGGAAGGAGATTGAGAGTGTGAGCCATTTGGGAGGCAACTGGAGGCTATCAATGTGGAGATGGACAGACTGTGGTTCCAGGAGGGGGAGCAGGAACTTCAACTGTAGCTAGGCAAAGGTACTGAGAATGTGAGGGAAGACAGAGGTGATGAGTCCATCTCCAGAGGGCAAATCAAGGACTTTCTGAGCAAAGATGGGGACTGGGATCAATCGTCCAAGGCAAAGAGACTAGGACTTGCTAGGTGAGGAGAATGGACTGGGACAAGGAGCCAAGTGGTAGGAAAGAGAGAAAACTTGAGACAAGGACAGTTTGGAGGGGAATGGGCAGAAAGGTGTGTGCCCATTAATTAATGTTGCCCTCCAGAGTCTGAAGTGGAACCCAAGATTCCTGAGTTTCATCATTCTCTGCTGTAAGAAAATATCTGTGATACCAGTGGCAGACTGCGTCGCTCCACATAAAGTATAACAATCACCTACTGCTATCAGTTACCATGGCTACGTCTAGACTACAGGCTTCTTGCACAAGAAGCTTTTTTCGGAAGAGATCTTCCGAAAAAACTTCTTGTGCAAGAGAGCGTCCACACTGCAAAAGCACATTGAAAAAGTGATGCACTTTTTTTGGAAGACAGCGTCCAGACAGTCTGGACGCTATCTTGCATTTAAGCAGCGATTGCTATGGATAGAGTGGCCACCAGGGCACCTGTGCTTTTTCCTCTTCCTTCTTCTTCCAAAAAAACTCCCTCTTCCCCATCTGCACACACCTTTTTGCGAAAGAGCACTTTTGCAAAAAGGCTTCTTCCTCGTAGAATGAGGAATACCAATTGCACAAAAACCACTCTGTTCTTTTGAATACTGTCGAAAGAACATGCTTTCAGTGAGGATGTAATTCAGGTTTTATCAGATAAACAGCCATTTTTCTGACAAAACTCTCTAGCCTAGACATACCCTCTGTTGACTTATTTGGAGGAGGTCTTTGCATAGGCACTGACTCCGTGGGTGCTCTGGAGCTGGAGCATCCATGAAGAAAAATCAGTAGGTATCCCACCAGTATCAAATTGCCCCACCCCTGTCCTTCTGCCTATGTGTCCCTTGCGCACTTGCAGCCCTGCACTTACAAACTCCTCCACCTCCCGTCCACCACTTCCTGAGAAGTGGTCAAGCTCTGGGAAAGATGGGAGGGGTTGGGGACAGGTCATGCTTAGGGGAGAAGGTAGGGGAGAGGTGGGGACAGAGTGGAGTGGGAGGCAGAAATTGGGGAAAGGGTAGAAGGGGGGAGAGGCCTAGAGCAGAGGAGGGGATTGAGCACCTTACAGCAACAAGAGAATTTGGTGTTTGTAGCTCTGCCATGTATAAAGGTTCCAACTCCAGTGATGCCCCATGTAAGTATGATGCTGTCACATGATGGAATTTGTTTTAGTTTCCTTTTAAGAAAAATGCTAGGAAGTTGCACATAAAAACTATGCTAAAGTAATGCTATTAATGTTGCAGCTACATGTGCAGTGGGATAGGTTCACTGCCCTGAACCTAAGATTCCTGTTTCTAACTACTCTCTATTGTAAGAAAATATCTGTGATACTAGTGGCAGATTGTGCCGTACCCAATAGTGCTACACCACATAAAGTATGATATCTACCTACTGCTATGAGTTACTCTGTTCACTTACATGGAGGAGGTCTTTGCAAAGGCACTGACTCCGTGGGTGTTCCAATGGGGGAAAATTAGTAGATGCAGAGCACCCACCAGCACCAAGCTGTCCTCCCATCCCTCTCTCCACACTCTTAGGTGTCTTGTACATTGGCAGCCCCATGTACCATCCCATCTGAAACCCTAAGGCTGCGACTACACTGTAGCCTTCTTCAGGAAAAGCTTACGCAAATGAAGCATTGCATGGAATATCGGCATGCTTCATTTGCATAATTAATTAGCAGTCGCTTTTGCGCAAGAGGCTTTTGCTCAAAAAGGAGCTGTGTAGACAGCTCCTTTTTCGCAAAACCCTCCTCTTGCACAAGAGCCCTTGTTCCTCATTTTTTCAGGAAGAACAGCTCTTGCGCGAGAGGGGGTTTTTGCACAAAAAGGAGCCGTCTACATAGCTCCTTTTTGCGTAAAAGCCTCTTATGCAAATGCAGCTGCTAATTAATTATGCAAATGAAGCACTGCAATATTCCATGCAGTGCTTCATTTGC